CCCCCCCCCCCCCAACGGCTCGGCGTCCCCGGAGCCCCCCAGCCCGCCGCGCCGCCCCCCTCACCCGATCTCGTCGGCGCCTCCCACGTTGTTCATGGCGGCGGCTCCAGGCAGCGTCCGGGCCGGGCCCGGCTCCCTCAGGCCCAGGCGGCGGCAGCAGCGGAAGGTCACGGGCTCCGCTTCCCTCCCGAGCTGCGCAACGGCGGCTCCGGCCCCCTCTTCCCCTCAGCGCCGCCCGCCAACCGCCGCTGCGCGTGCACCCTGGCCTCGCTACGGGGTCTCCGGGACCGCGCCCAACGAGCGGGTGAGGGGAAAGGGGTAGCGCGCCTGCGCGGCAGGCGCAGGGCAGCACGGGAAACGTAGTCCAGCGCCGGCTGGCTAACACGTGGTGCAGCCCCGCGGCAGCCATGCGGATTCGAGCCGGCAGGAGGGAGCGAGAGGGCAGTGTGTGCGAGAAAGAGAGGCCGGGTGGGTGCTAAGGAGCGGACGCGTGAGAGAGCCCATGAGTGAATGCATAAGTTTTAGCGTGTGAAAGGGAATGGGAGGTTGGCAGGAAAGTTGTTTGCAAGTGAGGCCTGGTCTACACTTAAATATAAATATTGACCAGGGACATGAAAAAAATTGCACAATAAGGGCCTAGTTTATCAACACTGGGGATCAGGTTGACCTCAGCTAGGTTTCTGTCAGCCTATCTCCAGCCTCTCAGAGGGGCGGATTAACTCTATCAATGGAAAAACCCCTTCGGTCTGTGTAGGAAGCGTCTATGCTACAGCGCCATAGCTGCAGTGCTGCACTTGCAGTGTAGACGCAGTCAGAGTGTGTGCATAGCATGGGGTGTACAGCCTGCGGGCGGCGGGAGGAGGGTGTGTGGGGCAGAGGTGCTCTTAGGTGTTTAGTAAGGTGTGAGTGTGCCTATGGCTTTGCCTAGACTAGGGCCTGGTATACACACAGTTTTTGTGCTGGTATCATTATGTCACAGAGGGATGTGATTTTTAACCAAAATAGTTATACCAGTACAACCCCTAGTGTGAACAGTTACACTGATATAATGGTGCCTCACACTGATACAGCTTATCCCTCTTCCTGTAAGGAAAAAGCTACACCTGTATAAGCACATTTATACCGATATATCTGTAGCCACACTACGGAGGTTATACCACTTTACCCATCCACTACAGTTAAAGCAGAACAACTTTTGTGTGTAGACAAGCCTTAGGAAAAACAGTACTTTTTTAGGCCTGGTCTACACTACAGGGTTAGGTTGATGTAAGCAGCCCTGCATCGACCTAGCTTTGGAAGTATCTTCAGTTAAATTTGGCTCCTGCCAAGGTAAGTGCCTCTATACGCTGATTTAGTAACGTCACCTTCCCAAGCGGCATACAGTCACAGTCAATGTAGTTAGGTTGACGCAGTGTCAGTGTAGATCCTGTGTTGCTTACTGATTGTTCCTGGCTTTCAGGAGCCATCCCACAATGCTCTACACTGACAGTACAATTGATATAAGCGCTCCTGGTGAGGACGTGCACCACGGACACAAGGAGCCAAGTGTGCACACACACACACACGAGTGATTTAATGACTGCAGTGGCTGTATGCTGACGTAAATTAGGTCGACATAATTTTATAGTGCAGACATCTCCTTAATCGTTAGAGTTTAGCTAACTCCATGGAACTAATGTGATTGAAAAAAGCACCCTTTTTCCTATGCCTGATTTTACCAGCATTAGTGGAATCTGTGAACTATGTCAGTGGTGTAATACTTTGCCAACATATCAGAGGGGTAGCTGTGTTAGTCTGGATCTGTTAAAAAGCGACAAAGAGTCCTGTGGCACCTTATAGACTAACAGACATATTGGAGCATAAGCTTTCATGGATGCCAATAAAAGCCCTACTGTAGATACAGCTATACCGGTATAAGCACTTTTTTACGGTTATAACTGTATCTACGCTACTGTTTTTTTGCCGCTTTGAGGTTCAGTCTGCACTTAGCAGCTGCCCCACTGCAGTGCTTCAGTGTAGACACTCGCTACAGCGACGGGAGGGGCTCTCCTGTCACTGCGGTTAAACCGACCTAGCGCTGTCTACACCGGGGACTGGATCGGCTTAACTACTTGACCAGGGTGTGGATTTTCCACAGCCCTGAGAGACGTTGTGATGTCGATGTAAGTTTTCTGCGTAGACCAGCCCTAACTAAGCCAGCATAGTTAAACCAGCAAAACTTTGAAATGTAGGCAAGGCCTGAGGCTTGGTCTAGCCTAGGAAATGAGGTTGGTATAACTACATAGCTCAGGGGTGTGAAAAATCCACATCTCTGAGCAACGCAGTTAAACCGACCTAACCCCTGGGGTAGACAGTGCGAGGGCGACAGGAGAATTCCTCCATCGACCGATCTATGCCGATGGGAGAACTCCTCCCGGCGGCGTAGGTCGTGTCTTCACTGAAGCAGTACAGCAGCGCAGCTGCAGTGTTTTAAGTGCAGACAAGCCTTAAGTCCATACAAGACCTATATGTGCAGCATCCATAGGTGCATGGATAGTTTCTGTTTGTGTGCAGCACAGGGGAAAAGCATAAGCCAATGATATTGTAACAGGCAGCAAGTGGTTTTATTTCAATGTCAGAAGGATACCTAGCCCTTGTTAACTAGTATGATTTAGTTTTGTATTTATATAGCACCATTACTGTATATTAGTCCCCTAGCAGTCTGGGAGCATGATGATTCTGTAGATTTCTATGAATCACATAACACCCCCTCTTCCCTTTCTATCACTAATTTGCCCATGGGATTACACATGCTCCCAGAGGGCAGGAAAGGCAATTTAATCCCATGTGTTGCACAGTTTGGGAGTGGAGTTTTCTTTCTGCAGATTTATTTTTACCCAGGTGCCTGATCTTTCTGGCATGTACCTGCCACATCTCGTTCTTCGGGAGGAAAACATCCTAATTTTGGATTAAGTCTAAGGCAGTTTTATTTGAAAACCTCTCCCTATTGGGAGGAAGGATTTTGCTTATGTGGGTTTCAATGCGACATTTAAAATCTCACACTTGAGGTGGGTTTTTTGGAAATCTAACTTTCTATCTATTGAAATAGTCACACAGCATGGATGCCCTGCTCGCCCTCCTGATAATAGAGAAGCAGGGACATCTAGTGGCTCTAGCTGAATCCCAGAAGGATATTTAAGGGTTTGATTGTCAGAAGTGCCGTGTACCCAAAACTCTGGCTGAGTTCAGTGGACGCTGTGGGTACTCAGCACTTACGAAAACCATGCCCCTTTCCCCAGATCCTGCAAAGTGTTATTCATAGAATTCACTTTACTACCAAGTCGATGGGACTACTTACAGTAGTAAAGTTAAGCATACCCGTAAGTGTTTGCAGGATAGTCTGTATCTCAGGGGCTTGGGCAAAGAGAATTAAAATTCACAGAGAAAGACTGATGCACGGACCCACCCCAGTTTGGGATGGGTGTGGTGTTTCTGTAGGCAGATGGCTTGCACAAAACTGACAACTGCATAAGTGATGCACCTGGCATAAGGTTAGGCTAACAGCGCAATCTTTTTCGAGAGAAGAGAATTGCTTTTATCCCAGTGGGTAGAGTACAGATAATAAACCCATGTGCTGGGCAGAGATAGGCCATCCAACCAGGCTGCACTTTTAGGGGTGGCTGATGGAGTGTGGCTAGACAGGAATTTCCTTGATGATTATCGGTTGTGGCTGAGGACTTCTCCTTGCCTTGAGGAACTGTAAGTATGAGCCTAGCTCTTGAGCCATTGATTTCAGCTGCCTTTTGCCCAGTAGTGGACTCTCACTCACACAACCTTTTCCAAACCTGCCAAATCTCCCTCTTTTAGACGGGGACTCTCGTTTAAGATACCTTCGGACTCGTCTGCATGAAGGGATTTTGCTGCAGGTTTCAGAGAGGCGTTAATATCCTTGTTCCGTTAGAGTGTCCTGCACCTTGGCATTGTCCTGTCTTGCAGTTAGTATAAGCTGGCTCCATGTGTCAGATGGAATGATACCGAAAGATTCCTTCCTTCTCTGATCACAGAGGGAGGGGAAGTGCTCTGTTTACATGTCTCCTTGCAACCTGCTTTCGCTCAGTCAGCCGGGTAATCTGTGTCAATGCATTTCTCCAAGGCATCAGCAGATGTCCCTCCTCATTCACATCTCTGCCCTCCTCCTCTCCCACTTTTTACTGGGCATGCTCAGGACCACAGCCCAGATAAGGGATCCCTTTTACCCAGAAGTAGCCTCTGCTCTTCTTTGCACACGCAGCTTTTTCTGGCTTGCCTATATAAAGCCAGCGAGATCACGGGGGCTCCCTTTCTCTCCTCTCCCCTCCTTAGCCTGCTGGACTTTCCTCTACCATGAGCTCCTCCGAGGTTGCTTGTCCTATCTTCCTCCAGGGAGAGAACTGCAAGCCGTCATGGAAGGAGGCAGACGCTGGCTTCAATCAGACGGACACCCACTTAGAGATCTTGGGCAAACCAGTGATGGAGAGGTGGGAGACCCCTTACATGCATTCTCTGGCTACGGTAGCAGCATCCAAAGGTAAGTGACTAGTGAGGTCCCAGCTCCTTGCAGGGGGGCGAGTATTGTCCGCAGCTAGGGAGTTGTGATGCACTAGTGAGGATTCGGAGGGATTTTGTTTGGAACTGAATTCAAGTGTTTTCTGTCATTCTCCGCTCTGGAACGCTGTCCTGAATGGGGCTTCTTGTTGTGGTTAGTTGAGATAAGCTTCCCAAAGTTTTTGTGCATTTGGGAACAACCGCTAACAAAGACTAGCAACAGTCAGCAATTTAGCCTGGGAATTAATGTTGCACTATGTTCTTAGTCTAACATGTGCAGCTCAAACTATGAAATAAAGAGCAGTTTGCAGACACGGCTGAGGGTGTACGTGTGTTTTGGAATCTTGCTTCAGTTGATTATCCCTTTGCACTGTTCACAGCACCAATTGATCGTGTTAAAGAGAAGCTGCTACACGTTAGAAGATTGAAAGTTCTGTTTCCTTTATCAATAGGAGCTGGGCTTTGCGTATCCTGAAATGAATTGATAACGTAACAAGCATTTCCTTCCCGTATGAAGACTGGTGTTGAATAAAACATACAGCTCTTTTCCCAGCATACAGCCAAAAGCATGGTGTTTTTTAAACCTTCCGGTGAAGTCATTGCCCATGTAACTATCTGCTGTATTGTTAGCAGCACTTACCGCTAGCATCTCAAAGTCACTGTCAGCTTTTTATGAATTGATTCGCTCCGTGATTCAGAGAGCAATGGAAGCCAG